AAAGAAAAACGTTATATGTCATTAAGTGTTAATGCATAAGGAACCACATTTTAAAAGTGTTTCTAAGACCAATTGAATAAGAGTAAAACCGAATTCGTTTGCTTTTTGTGGCTTTTTACCGTATATATACCCTCCCCCCCCCATTGGCATAGCGGTATGTCTGCAGACTTACAACGCTAGAAACCGGGTTTCAATACCCTTGGGGGCAGAGCACAGATAGCCCATTGTGTAGCTTAGTGCTTAACTTCAAACAAACAAACAAACCGTATATATATATAACAGAGGAACCCACCCCCAATGTCTTGCTTAATGATATTTGAAAAGTCCCCTCTTTCTCAATAAGCTTCCGCACTTTTAAGTGCACGCTGCTGACTGTACCAACTAACCTTAGGTCGCTGTTCATTTTTAAGGTTTAACCTTCAGATTCAATAGTTTGAAGCTCACATTAGTTTCCTAATCTCAACACTGGATTGTAGTCTTGGATGTCTGATTTGGGCGCCATTACTAACTGTTTTTTTAATATTATCTAATACTCATCCTACAGTTTCTGTCTTTTGTATCATTTAAGCTCATGTCTTTATTGTGTAACATGCATCGTAAATATTCTCCAATAAGGGCTGAAAGCCCCGGGCGTAAGCTCATTGAAGAAATTAAGCAATTAAAACTTTCTTCAAAGAGCCGTATTCTTCCTAAATTGATAAAATTGAGCATGTTTGGAGGGACGGGGATCCGACCCGCGATCCGTAATTTGCGAGTAGAGCGCCCTAACAATTTGGCCATGCTGAGCTTTTTTATTAGAATGTCAATTCAATAGAGAGATATAAATTACTGTCACTAGGGTTCGTAAATTGGCTTAATGATGGTTACTTCCATAGAACACCCTTCAGTTGTTGTTTGTTCATATTAGTGAAAACAGATTGTTATGTTATGCGTGTAAATCACGATATATCGACATAGCTTCCATCCTCTTACCACTAATATTTGTGTACATATATAAAAATATATCATCATCTGACATTAAACATTATAGAAAAGGTATTATATTAAATACTTTATTACAGATACTTTAAGAATATTACTAGAAATATTGTGATTTGTTGAAATGTATGCTACCTGAGGAATCTTAAAGAGTCGAAGCAGGTTTGCGACTTGTATAGAAGTGACGCTAGAGGCCGCCCCAAGCACTCCTGATATAATTTTTTGTCGAATAACAGGACTCGAGCCATCTGGACATCGGTAGTTGCTGTCGTCAATGTTGCGAATAGACCCTGGAGTCAATCATACAAATAACACTGCGTTATAGGCGGAGAAACAAACTTAGGAAAGTTTACTTTTGATACAGAAAAATAACATCTCTTCATGTAGTTAGATACGACTGTAAAATGAAAATGGAAGCTTACAGCTTGTAATACGATAAATAATGTTAATTATATGTATTTCAGAAAAGCAGTATAATATCAATGTATATATATTTGATAAGAAAGGGAACCAAAGATAACATTTAATCAAATCTCCTGCTATGCTGTAAAATATTTTTACTAGCAATAAAAATCCTAATTAAGTTGTGTCGTATTTCAGTCAATTAATTACAAGTTTACATTTGTGTGAGAACAGCCACTGAATTAACACAGTGAATTTTCTTTAATGTCATTGAAAATAACATCAATAATTCCCTGTAAATTTTGAATGAGTAAATGACTCTTGTAACACACTATAAATGCTAGAGATGTAATAATGTTTTTTAAACCTTTTTATACATTTACTGCTCTACGTATATATATATATTATTACTACTTTATTTAGGCCACACGAAATATCTTGTAGAATAGTTATAGTTAAAAGTTTACACTCTATTTTATAAGTGTTTAGATTCGATGACGAGGAACCCACTTTGAGACTAATAATGGCTGGAGACGGCTTGAATAGGTAATGAAGAA